CCGGTCGACTCTACTCATCAAACAAACTACTAACTCGTAATGTCGTCAACATAAAAATTGTGACACATCAAATGTTCTGTTCGTCTTCGACTGCTTCGTCATTTCCCACATTCCGTTAACATAATGTAGACGACACACGCTTTGCACAAACCTCCGTTGCCGCCAAGTAGCATAACTAAACAAATCTGTTTAAGTTGCCGGCTTACTGATTCCTGTCTGGTTTCGCCTTTCTTCCCATCCCGTTCCGCCGTTTCGCAAGAATGTTTGTTACGCCYTAGCGACCGTCCGAACTGTTGCAATGTTACCGTTTGTTATTTTTTGTTTTGTGGTAAAAGTGTCTCTGACACGCGAGCCCCAGCGCATACTACACAACCTCACCGATGATTCATTTACCCAACTTTTCTCATTAAACGAGCCCACGTGGAGTAGATGGAACTTATGCCAGGTTTTCAAGCCCATGCGTTTAATGTTGAATATAATTTTGTTGTATGACCTGTGTTGCTTCTGTTCCAAGACCTGAAATGTTCCTCTAAGGTTAATAGCTTCAAGCAACCCTTTTCATTTTTTCTAGATGACCGGATACACAAATGATATTAACCGAGTTACCTACTAAAAATCTAGTTATTKCCTGCTTAAGCTCACGCAATGAAAGTTATTATTGTCAATCTAGACAAACTTAATTGCAACTTGGCTATCCACAACTTGCAGGTTTGAGCAGAAAAATACTTGGTACCTTCTATTATGAACACAATTTCGGTCTGAAAGACTGCATAGTAGTCATTCAGTTTGAAGCTGCTTTCTGTGTAAGRATTATTGGAGAAGAAGCCTGCTCCTGTTGCCATTTCATTCATTGATCCATTGTAAATATGTAGATTTCATCCTTGGTGGTGCCGATTGCAGCACCATTGGTCCTATCTTCTCTACTGTGGAATGAAAGCAACGTGTTTYGTTTCTCGTGAGTCTCCTTTATATGGACGCTATGCCAACTCGGGTTAAGTTCGAGTACGCTATCATGCCCAAAGTGACGTCTAGAATAGTTTCAGTTACCTCATCCCATCATGAGCTGGCTGGCCGTAAGCATTGCCTCATATCTCACTRACCTCCAGAGCTTTTGTATAGGTCCAATGGTCCTAGATGCGAAGGGCTTTGGAAGCCCTGCGTTTTTATCATATCAATAATAGCGAAAAGCCCGATTCACAAAACTTTTCAATTTGCTTTSCGGTATGGAATCCCTTTTTTATAACAGAGACTGAAAGTCAAAGATCAGAGCATGGGAAAGTCAAAATTAAAGATTAGTTGAAATCATCCACGAAAACATTTTGTTCCGGGTTTGAGCGATCTTCTAATAATATATTATATGCATTACGACTGTCGCGCTATTATCAAGATGTCCATTTTTCGGATCAAAACTGATGACGAGATATTCTTATTTGAGACTCTTACTACAACCAAGCTATATAGAAAGACTATCGGGTATTTACAAGTGGACTCAATATTATATCGTCAACAGTCCGATGATGAGTTATGACTGACGACTGATTCCACTTATGAGAAGCAATAAAATTCTAATATTCATCACAACTTACTTCATAATATTGAATTACAATACCAGTTTACTGACTATTCTTGTTGATTGATTAAGGACATATGGTATAATAATATGCAGATAACTTTGTTTTCATAATAAAATGTTTATCGCATGCATAATACATACAGGTTTGATTTGAATTTAATTGCCGCTATAACAAGTGTACTTAAGTGCCTACTTAACAACTTAAGTAACTTCTTTATGTACATATACGTATGTAAATATATAGGCTATATTGTGGGCCAGTAATGATTTCAATATATTGGCTAAACAAAGACTGGAAGGAGATGATGTATTTGCATACTACCCTRTAATATGGGCACTTCTAACAGTGTAKSAGTTTCGGGATCCCGAAAATTTAARAAAACATGTTTATAGATAACTATATTTGAGTGAGTCTAAATAAGGCTGATAACTGCTATCAACTGATTAGTGTGCCATAGATAAAAACAGGTAGTAATCATTTGGAGACAGGACTGTACTATAAGGACTATACATAAGAAGCTCCCAACCAAGCTTCCGATGCTTCTGGTCCACTTTCATTGGCCAAATTTGTTCGCTTCTGAGCTGTAGTTTCCTGCAGACGGTTCTATTGTTGACAGCACAGTTCGGAATTAAGAGTTTGGCTCTGGGGAAGCAACTGCTTGTAGACGGTTCCATGCCAATCCCACCAAACACATAGCAAAACTTTCCTGGCCTTCATTTCTGGCTTGGCTGCCGTTTGCGCCAGCTTACCGTGATTCGACCACGACCATTTTCCATGACCAAATGAATCGCTTCTGCCGCAATTCAGCCGCCAGACTTTTATCGTAGGAAAATTTTAAAATATTACGTATGGTCCCCTTTGTTGATATTACCTTTTAACTCCTGCTCACATAATACCTTTGACGCAGTAGTTTTGTGTTTGTCTCGAAAAACATTAACGTCGACTCATCAGATGTTGTCATMATCTATGCCTCTTATTTCCACATTTCGGGATTGTGGACATCAATACCACACGCCTTAGAAAATACCGGTACACAATTACAAACTCGTTTTCTACCAATAACACAACCGACCCGAAAGCWATTTGGCACGAGCCAMCACATTACAAGCAAGATTAGCGGTTTACAAGGGTTGCGACTCACATTGCACCATCAACAACAACGCAACGCATTAACACATCATCAACGCGAGCAATAATTATCTGCATCGCACAATACACACACACAAACTGTTGCAAGTATATTTCGCAATTTACGGCGAATTGTCTGTGCACTTTTGCTAGCGGCGCATGRAACACGTCCATCTAAATGCTCGAAGTATGCCAGAGCATGGGTAGGCGAGTAAGTGCTGCACTTGCCGAGTAGCTGCTAAATAACAAATTGAATTTCGTAAAAGTTCATAACGATCCACTTCCGGCGCCAATGTAATGTACATAGAATGCGCCCCATCGAACAACAAACACCACGCCGACCCCAAGCGCGCCGAGCAAAAGCTGCCGACAGCGGCCCAACAACCGTGTAAATGGTTGTCTGGCCGACTAAACGACCAACTTGCGGAAATGTGGTTTATTTTCTGTTTAAATGCAATTGATSKCTGCGCACGTCAGTGGGTTTTTTATTTCCTGAAGTGAGCCYACGACTTTCTTATGAGTACTTTTGGAGGTTAGCGTTGCAATTGTAGACATATGGTAACTATATATACATTCCTGTATATTAGAAGTTAAGCTGCCRCACCTTCACAGTCGAATATTATTTGCTTAGTGAGATTTCGTTCTTCAATAGGGGGGTCACTAATAGGAGGCGGTTGTTTCCTTTTCATTAGTAGGATTGTTTACGTAGCGGATKCCAAACCCAGCCCACAATCCTGAGGAGGGGATGTTTCGCCTTCTCACTTTAGCTCGCCTTCAAATGAGGGTACTTGGTCTAGGACCGGAAGTCTTGAGCTTCTTGAACCTTATGTAAAAGAATMGGTTCTGGCCACTCCCAARTGAATGGTGCTCAGAGAACTTTCCTCACTTTCGTGAACTTCKAGACATGGCTTCATCCTCACCAAAAGCTTGAGGATGCACTCGCCTACCAGACTAACTGGATACTAGCTATTTTTCGACAAAACTCTTACAGAGGCCAGAGATGACCCATGTCCAAGAAAAGTTTTCTAGGCGGTCCGAAGTTCTTCATTACACTTACTTTAATACTCCGTAGCTTAGTCCGAAAAAGTCTTGACTTGAGTACGACTCCGAAAGTTCTTGATATTTCAAGACAACAAGCAAAGTTAAATCCRAAGAGCTCTTGTTAAGAGGTCGAATTAATGAGAGTAATCAAACTACAGGACGGTTTGAGGCGGCATTCCCTCGMAAATCATTACCTATATTACATACAAGCTAAAGTAATTTAAATGATATCATAGTTCGTTAGTCGTTTTTCCGTTATTTTCGGAAGTTTTTGCTCGTTCGAGACTCTGAGCATAGCCCGAAAAAGTCTTGACTTGAGTATAAGTCCGAAAGTTCTTGATAGTTCAAGGCACCAAACAAAGTTAAGTCCGAGGAGCTCTTGATTTGAGGACAAATGAGAGAGTAATCGAGAAAAAAAAGGGTTGGAGGCGACGTTCCAACGACAGTCGGTTTAAGTAACCGAAAYGAACCCAGAATTTTATCCAAAAAAAATTTTTTTAGCTAAAATCTCAAAATATCTGCCTTCGAAAATCAACAATTATTGCCTCCATTAGTGCCAAGAAAACACATTAAAAACAATGAGAAGGGAGACAACTTTAATTAAGCAGTTAGGGGTCTTCGCTGAATAAATGAGATCTAATGAGGTTCGGATAAGATTGAGACAAGTCAGAAACAAATTGACAGGATAAAGTGTTACCACTACGAAAAATTATATTTGTAAACATATTTCAAAATCGTATCTCTCTCTCATTTTTTAGTACTTGCTATGTTGTTTAAACTTTCTGAAAGCTTTACCACAACATCACTGAAAGCAATTAACTACACTTATATGTAGTAGAAACGCGCACCAACCTCAACCTCAACCACTGTGTGCTTGGCCTAATTTAATTTCTACACTTTGAAATTGCTTTCGTCTACGCAAGGCCGTCAAGTGGCCGCACATACAAAACAATACCCAACAAACGAGGCAGCTTGGTCACCTCAAGCGGTTGCAAARAACAAAATCACACAGAAAGCTCAGTGGCAAAAGCACTGCAATTAATTGACAACTTGTCTACACAATTTACGGCGCCCATTAACTGTTTTTAACCCCATTAAGAGCCATCAACGTTCCACTAACTTTTCTGCTGCAACGCTAAATTGTTAAAACATATACGTGCAACAACAAAGACATGCAATATTAACTTAATTGACAACATCCTGTCAACATTCAACACTTTTTTCTAATTCTTTTTCCACTTCTCTTAATATTTACAGTTCCTATTATACCCGAGTTCCTGTACGACATACGCCATCCCGATGCACCGCTCGACAGCTTCCCACGTACGCCACTYACTACGCACACACCACCGCCGCCTACACAGKCACCCTGCAACGTGAAYGGCGAACCATTGCCGACGATGGAAGTATCAACACAGAGTCCGGAAGGTAAGGCAGTAATGGAAGTCTAAAATACTATTTGCAAATACTATTTCATGAAACTCTAAGTGTACAGTAAACAAGATTAGTAAGAGTACAGGTGCTCCAGAAGTCTGTGATAGCTTGAAACTCCTCCTGAGGAGATACATGTTTAAAGAGAGTCAGAAGTTGATGGTTCTAGTCATGTCAGTAAGTTCAAAGAACTGGGATTCCACTTCATTTCACTGTCCGGGTTTTACCAGGCGAAGTTTTGAATAAATTGAAAATTTTTGATCTCAAATCCTTATAATATAGTGGGACGACAAGAAAATTACTTGTTTTTAAACAAAATTGCAAAACTAAAAAACTAAACTATCAAAACAGCCAACCAACTGAAGTGATCCATGTTCAGCTAAAGAGCTGGCTAGACTGGTACTTTAAAGGAGAAAAAATTCAAACAGTATTAAGAGAAATTTATTAATCGAGCTAAATATTTTGAAGGCCGCAACTTATCAAGGTTGCAGGGGGGAAGTTGAGGTGCAAACATCTAAATACATAGTCCTTCAGTAATCAAGTTTCGCCAGACAAACGTTGAAGTTACAGGGAGGAAGTTGGAAATTGAGATGTCAATATCCAGACACTTTCTCCCTCAGTGCCCAGCTTTCGCCAGACTAAGGTTGAAGCATCTTGGTTGCCATACTTTCTACAAACCCGATGAATTGGAATAGATATTTGTCAGCTCAATAAATTAGTGGGTGAATCGAGGCGATTTGCATATATGAGACGGTCTTTTGTATCCATACTGAGGAGTTCTGAGTATCACAGACCAAGTGGGATTATTCGTGGTCACACAAATATCAGCCTATTTAACTAACCTATTATTTTAATAAACTTGGAATTAGTTCTCCAATAAGTTAACAGATATATTTTATCAGTACTATCTAAGAGCATTATACCTGTTCAGACAATTATAGTCTAACAAATTTGAAAATTAAAAACAGCGATTAAATACGTCTTTAAACCACTTGGACTTCTTGGGTCTTAACTGAACCTAAGGGGTTTAGTTGTACGCATAGTGCTCATTGATTTAATATTATTGTTGCTTTTCACAGAGAATTACACTATGTGGCGAGAGATGGAAGAGCGGCACAATGAACTAGTGGGCGAGACCGTTGAAGTAGGAATCCTATTTGCATCAAAAGCTTTCGTACAATTGTTAGTCAACCCGATTGTTGGACCCTTGACGCATAAGTAAGTACTGAAATCCTTGCGAGACACCTACCATCACTATACACGGATAAGTTAGCGCAAATCGAGTTTTAAAGCCTTTCACAGTATTATTTAAACATTTTTCTCAAATCTTACTTACTCTGTTCATCTAAATATATTTAACTAACCCTTTACACAGAATCGGTTACAGCATACCCATGTTTGCCGGCTTCGTAATCATGTTTATATCRACAATWAGTAAGTACACGCCTATATTTATAGAGACTTGTKCCRCTCCCTTTATWTYTTGTTTATAAYATTCATTTTATCCGCTTAGTCTTCGCTTTTGGACGTTCGTATTTGGTGCTATTTGTGGCGCGTGCKCTACAAGGTATCGGATCTTCATGCTCGTCCGTTTCCGGTATGGGTATGTTAGCCGATCGCTACACYGACGACAAGGAACGTGGCAATGCAATGGGCGTAGCGCTGGGTGGCTTGGCTTTAGGTGTGCTTATCGGACCGCCATTCGGTGGTGTCATGTACGAATTCGTTGGCAAATCCGCACCATTCTTGATACTTTCCGCATTGGCTTTGGGTGATGGCCTGCTGCAGCTCTTCATGTTACAACCGTCGATACAACGTGCCGAAACGGAACCACCATCACTAAAGGCGCTAATCAGCGATCCGTATATATTGATCGCTGCTGGTAGGWTTAAGCGACTTATAAGCAAAATTCTTTTCTTCAACGCTACATTTTCCAGGTTCTATTACTTTCGCGAATATGGGTATTGCCATGTTGGAGCCATCGCTACCGCTGTGGATGGTTGATAATATGGGCGCTACACGTTGGGAGCAAGGTGTTGCCTTTTTGCCAGCCTCCATCAGTTATTTAATTGGCACAAATCTCTTCGGTCCTTTGGGTCACAARATCGGACGTTGGTTTGCCGCCTGTTTGGGCCTGATTATYATTGGCTGCTGCTTGATAATGGTGAGCGACACATTTTTGTAATATATTTGCTGATTTTTACTTGATTTTCTTGTATTTATCAATTTGCAGATACCTATGGCAACCTCGATCACACATCTAATTCTACCGAATGCCGGCTTGGGTTTCGCCATCGGCATGGTGGACTCATCAATGATGCCCGAACTTGGTTTTCTTGTCGACATACGTCATTCGGCCGTCTATGGCAGTGTTTATGCTTTGGGTGATGTTGCTTTCTGTGTCGGTTTTGCCGTGGGTCCAGCGCTGAGCGGCACTCTAGTGAAAACCATCGGTTTCGAATGGATGTTAGTCGGCATCGCTATTTTGTGCTTCATTTACGCTCCACTTCTGACGCTGCTCAAGAATCCACCGACTAAGGAGGAGAAAAAGGTTGGTACCGAGACTGAARCTGATGCTGACGCGTCTGCGCCGCCAMTGGCATTGACGKCGGCATCTGGCGCTGTGAATGCGAATGGCAATGCTAGCAAAGAAGTCGTGTTTACGACCRCGGCCAAGAGTCCAGCCATTATGCATGACGGCATGACGAATGAAGCTTTTGAATGCGAACGTCTTTGAGTTGCAAAATTATTTTTATTATTATTTTGTTTAATTRTATTCTAACTAAATTAGTTGCTGTTTGCATATTTTCAATCAGTTCGTTCCTCTTAAAGTGTTTAATACTTGCGTTAGCGCCAAATTTTTGGTGCGTTTATGTATATACATTTTTTATGTGCATATTTTATATTTTGTATTTTATATTAGAAAAATTTAGCATCTAAATTTAGTAAATAATTTAGGCGTAATAATTAGTTTTCCTCAAAATCTTCTTGTAATTTAGGATTTTTTATCAATTAGTAATCTATTATTTAGAAAAAATTGCACATTTTGTTTTTACTTTATGTTTAACGCCCTGATTTTTATAAAATAATTTAGTGGAATTATATATTAAATGGCAAAGTTAATTTTTCGAATTTAGTTTCTTCATTTTTAAGCTTCTCAACTTGATTTTTGCTTATAAATTTCCAATAAAGTAAAATTTTGAACCAAAAAAGATTTGTTTTTATTTAAAACTAACAATTTTATGTAATTTTCGTATGAATTTATTATTAATTATATATATAATATTATATTATTTTGCCTAATTACCTACATATTTATTAACAAAATACGAAAAAACTTTTTCGACTACCCAATATAATCTTCTCAACTTGATTTTTGTTTATAAATTTCCAATAAAAAGTTTCGTTTTTATTAAAATCAAATAATTGTATTTTTAATTTTTGTTTTAATGTATTATTAATTATTTGTRTAATTTTGGTTTAATTAAATGAATTTTTTTTCGCACAGCACTTTTAATTTATTATGCATTGTTATTATTTTTGCTTACTTAACTTAATCTTTTTTTTAATTTTTCCAACATAGCACCCTTTTGCGCGCTTTGTCCCACTGTACMCCTATAAATACGCATTTTAAGCACTTAAATTCGCATTATCACTAAATTTAAATATTTTTCTTTCAACCCTATCACCAACGCAGTCATTGATTACTGGCGAAAGCTCGGCTGTACGTTATGTCACATACCAAAATTATGACGACGATGAGTAAGTAACGGCAGGTAYGCTAAAGTTTGACACAATGACTTGAAATTAAACGGTAAATCGAAACACGCAAGTTTTACGGAAATCTGYATTGGCCAACTGAGTACATTTTTAATACAACCAAAAATATCAGAAAAATCATATGAAAAATTATTGCTTCCCAGAAAAGAAAAAACCAAAAATGCAACTAAATTCAACTTTTATAAAAATTATTGTAATTAATATGCATACATAACTATTCCCAGTACATRTGACTATGACAAACGGATCGCAACCCACCTACATACACATAACTACAGTTATTTAAGAAAGTAAAAACTTAAAAGTATTCATCATACATGCATATACATATGTACATACAATTTTACGCCTATCTATTTGGAAAAATGCTAAAGTTGCCACAAGGAAGCAATAATTGCAAACGAAAATTGTTTATTTAAATTATTTTTGTTTAAAAAACGACACGTTAATGCCACTAAAGCGCTATTTACATATATATAAATATGTATGTAAAGCAACTGGTTSACAATGCGCCACAAAAATGAACAAAAAAAGAACAAAGTAAGGTTATGTTAAAAATTAAAGCTATAAACACAAATATACGTAATTATAACCATTTGTTGCTTAAGTGGTGGGATTTATATTTAAATTRATGAAATTAAAATTGAAAATAAATCGTTGTTAAAAATTTATGAAAAAGACGTAAGTTGAATTTTAGTAAATAAAATATTGATGATTTGTTGTTATTATAACTATTAAGAAAAACAAGTTATTAATCATTAAAATTTAATTTTTTCTTTAAGTACAAAAATCATAAAAAAAAATATTTTTTTTTAACTGCAAACAATCACAAAAAGTTTTTTTTTATTTATAATTTTTAATAATATAAATCATAAAAAATATTTTTTTTAAGTAATGAAAAAGAATTATTAAACATGCGATACATTATATTTTTCATTTAATATTTTTTCATTAAAAAAATTTTTTTTAATAATATAGCGTTTAAAAATTAAATTTTTTATTCATTAATTTTCAAAAAAAATATTAATATAATAAAATCAACTTTTTTCAAAAAATGTATTAAAATGAATTATTATGCGTGGAAAATATTATTTTTTAATTTAAAAATTTTTTAAAGTACAAAAATCATTAAAAATATATTTATTTTTTCTTCATTCGTCATTTTTTAATAACATAAATCATTACAAAATAAATGTATTCATTTTTTTTTTTTAAATTAATTAAAATACATTATTAAACAGTGGTTGTTGTTCTGATAATTATTTAAAAAAACATTAAAACTTTTTTTTGACATTTTTTTGTTAAATTCTCATAAAAAAGATAAATAAAATTTAAAACATATGCTTAAATTATTCAAACAAATAAAGAAATTRTATATATTCTAAAATTCATTCGGCTCATACAGAATTAATTTGATTATTAATCATCATCAGCTCCACAAGCTGCCGGGTCTTCACTTGCTGCAATTGTCTAATTATTTCAGTCCCTACTTTCATTGATACTTTCAACTGTTTATATGTATGTATAGTAACATGCATAATTTTTTAAATATATTATAACCGTTACTCCGATTAATTTCGCTGAGTTCGTGGCTTTCCGCATCTCGCTTGATATATGCCTTGGCTAAACACAAAAGCAAAGCTGAGACGTAAACCATTATACCATTGTCAAAAGCATAACCGTTAACTGACAGTTGACAAATGACWGCGACTCACTTTACAGAGATATTTTTATTGAAACGTGAAGTTAATAATTATAAAACTTGTTTAATTGAATGTGTTAATTTCATGAAATGAAATATAAAAGTCATCACTCGTGAGACAATTTTTTACTTTTATATTGTATTATACTTAATTATTTAATTCAGTATGAGTCGATGCATTATTTCTCTTTCCAGTTTTTTAATTAAGCATTAGCATTTTATATTTTTCTTTTCATTTTTTGTTTTGTATTATGCGCCAAAGTGCAAAAAACTAATATTTACTTACTCCCAGCAGAGAAGGTCTGCCCAGCGATATTTAATCACCCGAATTGTTGTGGTTTAATCATGAATTTCATAAAGAAGTCGAAAAAAATATAAAATTAGAATATATTTTTACTTTAAAAGCTCGCAGAAAAAGTTAGTGAAAGAGAAGGAGGGATGAAGAGCAAAATTCAATCAAAATGTACGAAAATCGAAGACTTCTTTACCATCAAAAATTTTGTTTTATTAATTTTGTCCATGTTTAGCGCGAAGCCTTTTCTTTTTATAATTTCAACTTAACAGTTATTGTAAAATAAATATAAAAATATATAATGTTGTCATTGTATACTTATAAATTCCCTTACAAACATGTCTGGTGTTTAGGATTTTATTTAAATTGCATTAAATTTAAATTCGYCACAAAATCCCAAGTAGAGGCTCTTAATAATTGAATTTCGATTTAATTTAGAATTTTTGTTACTTTTTGAATTTGAAAATAACAGGAACATAACGGTTATTTARTTTTGTTGCTGAGACACCGATAAGCTTTCCGACACGCGTCAGACGTTTATGGAGCAACGAGTGGMTGGGAATTGTGTCGGCAATTGAACGCCTCAAATGCGCAACGTCTTTCTGCACTTCCCCCAGGAAGGCAAACGCAAACGCCACACATTTCAAAGGTCCAAACGCCATGTCCATAACAACAGCTCACTTACTCAGCGTCCTTGCGGTTAGAACTGGTGCTAGTTGATAAAAATGTGATCGTTTTTGGAAATTTCAAARTTCTATCCATTAAGACGAGACAGTTGCTGATAAATCTGCTGCCAGTTCGGTTCTGTGCGATCAAACACGTAGCAATTTCAATTTGTCTGCAAACACATTGATATTCACATTGAGCGGTGTTGTGACATGACTCTGATTGTCGCTTGCAGGCTGTGTCGCCTGTCGTATGCTGGAACGACTGCGATGCATAATCATCGTTGGTGAACGTCTAATTTCCAATTGCGAGCTTGATTGGGAGCGTAAAGTGCTTTTGCTCATTTTTGGGCCACGAAGCGAGTGATGTGACTGACGATGTTGCGCGCCCTCGGCATGGAAATCGGAGGCAACAGCGCCAGCCGACTTCTTACATTGTTGTGCTTTCTCCAACAACTTGTTCATCTCATTGCTGGGCGTTGTGCTGCCGGGTTTGCTGCTGCCACTGAGGTTTTCCGACTTGCGTGGACGCAGCGATGAGGCCAAGGACGTGCGTTGCAGTGAAAACGGCTTGTATGCGGCAACAACCGCCTGACGGCGCATTTTGCGCACATCATTTAGTGTTGAATCATACGAGGGTCTTGTGGGCTTCATCACTGGCGTGGGCTGTGTGGGCGGCAATGGTTTCGCAACGTCGTCATCGTGTGAAAACCCATGCCGCAGTGTGGTGTCTAAACACCAGGGCACCATGCTGGGCATACGTTCCTTGGAAACACTATTCGACGCACGTTGAATTACTTCGGTGCTATTCGTATTGCGTAGTGCAGTGTTGGAACTGGTAAACCCGAGCGCGCGTGCGGTTGACGATGATAACGGTATGCGGGAATGCGAAGAGCTACGTGGCTTGTGCTTGCGCTGTTCGCGTTCATCCGTTGAATTCACTGCAAACTTAGAGAGACGTTTATCGATTACAAATGATGACGATGAAGTATTACGCATTGTTGCTCTGGCTTGAGSTGCGACTGTTTTCGGCTTAATATCGAGATTGTGATTCATTTCGGAATTACGTTTAATTTCCACCAACTTTGCAATAGCGATATCATTACTTTGCATACAACCGGTACCGTTGTAAATATTATTCAACGTGCTCACGACGGGCGTATGTTCGGTTTTCGTATTCGTCTTGCTSGGTGTCAGCTTATCGGACTCAATTTTGATAACGACATTATCGCCCAATTGTGTAGAATCCAAACCTTTTATATTGATATTTATCTGACAACCGGAACAGGCGCCCTCCGTCTTCTCCACCGTTGCAGTTACCCGATTCGGGGAAGCTGAGTGTACGATCTGTATGGGCTGTCGAACATATTTCGACGGCGACGTTCCTGCGCTTGACAATTC